TCATGGTGAATAATTTTTTTGATGTATTGCTGAATCTGATTTGCTAATACTTTGTTAAGGATTTTGGTATCTATGTTCATCAGGGATATTGGCCTGCAATCGTTTTTCTTTGTAGCGTCTTTATTTGGTTTTGGAATTAGGATTATGTTGACCTCATAAAACGAATTTGGAAGTCTTCCTTCTTCTTGGATTTTTTAGAATAGTTTGTGAGAATGGGTATTATATCATCTTTGAGTGTTCAGTAAAACTCCCCGTGAAGCCATCTGGGCCTGATCTTTTATTTGTTGGAGTTTCTTGATTACATCTTCAATTTCCTTAATTGTTATTGGTCTGTTCAAGTTTTCTATCTCTTCCCAGTTCAGTTTTGGAAGACTGTGTGTCTCTAAAAATTTGTCCATTTTGCCTAGATTGTTCAATTTGTTGGACTATAATTGTTCATAATATTTTTAAAGATCCTTTGTATTTCTGTGATGTCAGCTGTTACTTCTCTTTCCTTTCTGATTTTGATTATTTGGGTCCTCTCTTTTTGTTTCTTGGTGAGTCTGGCTAAGCATCTATCAATCTTGTTTATCTTTTCAAAGAACCAAATCTTTGTTTCATTGATCTTTTAAATTGTTTTTTTAGTTTCTATGTTGATTATTTCTGCTCTGACCTTAACTACTTCTTTCCTTCTACTTGTTCTGGGTTATAGTTGTTGTTGTCGTTTAGTTTCTTGTTCTTTAAGTTGTGAGATTAGATAGTCAATTAGAATTTGTTTCTTGTGTTTTTTTTTTTTTTTTTTTTTTTTTAAGTAGGCCCATAGTGCCATAAAATTCTTTCTCAGGATTGCTTTCGATGGGTCTCATAGATTTTGGGTTTTTTTTGTGTGTTCATTTTCATTGGTTTCCACAAATTTTTTAATTTCTTCCTTTATCTGGGAGAGCTTTTAAATAAAGATTCCTAGGTCCCACCCCCAGAGTCTCTGATTGAGAAGATCTGTGGTGGGGCCAGACAACATGCATCTCTAACTGTGCTAGAGATGTTGATACAGTTGGTCAGGATGACACCTTGAGAAACTGATGTGCAGTGTTTAACATGGGACCAGCGCTAAATAGATCAACACATGTTACCCACTTTACAAACACTTTTTATTACTACCATTACTACTACTAAAGCTTTTTCAAATTATAAAATATGTTGGACAAAAGACACATGTATACTGATAATTTGGATTTCTAGGAAGGTGTGTTCAGCACCTGTTGCTTTTCCAGGTACCTTGTGGGGACTTCTTCTCTAACTTCACTTTCCTAATAGACATAGTCAGCTTCATGCCACAGGTTATTTTATTTTTTTGACTTTTAATTTTTTTTCTTTAGTAATTTTTAGAGAATGAGGAAGTGAGAGGGAGAGAGAGAGAAACATTGATGAGAGAGAACATTGATTGACAGCCTCCTGCATGCCTCCAATGGGCTTTGGGCCCACAACCTGGGCATGTACCCTGATCAAAAATCAAACTGGTGACCTCTTGGTGCATGGTTTCATGTTCAACCACTGAGCCACACTGGCTGTGCTACCATAAGTTATTTTGAAACAATTTTATGGATCAGAAAACTGAGTCTTGAAGAAGTTGCATACTGACCTGGATCCAGCTGGAACAGGACAGAACAAGAAATATCCTGGGTTTTGTTACTCCAGGGAGCTTGTTAATTTGTTTTCCCACTTCCCCATGTCCTCCAACCACTGAGAATTTGGTTTATTTTTCTAAAATGGCCTTTAATATTCCCTTGACCTCACAGAGTGGTTATTTTGACAAAGTACAAACATCGTCTAAGTGAAATATGATCAGTGATAAAAACAATAATAATTTTAAAAAGCTAATAACAAGCTGATGTCAAAGATTTCCTTGTAAATAGCTTTTGAAACTTGTGGAGTCTTGGTTTCATCAATTTGCCGTATGCTTTATTCTGATGTTACCACTACAGCTCTCAGCACCTTTGGGAAGCAGGAAGCATTGGCGGTAACTGCAAAGGACCATACAGGGAAGGCTCTGGACTCTACTCTCTCCAGTGCCCGGAGTAGAACTCCTAGATGGCCTTGTCCAAGAAAGCTCTGATCAATTTAATGTAATGACTCTCATAGTGTATGTGCACACTCTCTCTTTGGCAGCTACATGTTCTCCTCACATGCCTGCTGAAGATTTTGTGTGTGCAATCAGGCTATATAGAGGCACAAACAGCATGTTCTGCAGCCCCGTGGCTGTGCTCAAGCCTATGCACCAGGGATGGTTGCTCCTCGGTCTGCAATAAAGCCCAGAACCACACAACTAGGACTGTAATGGAGAGAGCTGCATGAGAGTTGTCTCAGCCTGGGAGTGCCCATGTGGAAATACTTGGATACAGAGGTTTCTTTTCTGCTTTGTTCCCATTAAAGGGAAATCCATCCTCATAGCGCAATGAAAAGAAGGACTGAGAGCATGGGACCTCCGGGGCCCCTTTTCTTATTTCAATAGTGAAAGCAAGCCTTACACTCTTTCCTTCACTTCTGAGAAATGTGACCAGAGGCCTCCACAGAAACTGCATTTCACATTCACTATTAAAAAAAATAATCAGAATCCTCAAAGGTATTCAATGTCATGATTCATCAGGCCCAAGTCTAAGATTCTAAAATGTAAAGAATAAAATTACTTTCTGAGAAAGAGACTTTAAATACTAGTCTCTGGAATTGTGGCCTTGATTTTTATTAAAATTACAATCTTTCAGACAAAGATGCTGTGCATAATTTTTCCTGCTCTGGAGATAGGGGCTTCACTCTGGGACATGTGGAGCAGCCAACACAAGGGACAGCTTCTCTATCTGGCCTAATAGACAACCTTTCTATGTGCCCTCTCCATTTATCTAGGGTTCACGTTCCCTAGGTACATTACAGATGTGTTTATATGATGTCTACTTTCATCTCCTAGAACAGTTAACAACTGCTCTAATAGAATCCAAGGTAAGAAAAGCAATCCTACTCTAAAATTTGGCAATCAAACTCTGATGTCAATGGTGTCCTCGTGGTTGGGGGTAGGTAGAGGTTTTCCTCAGTATGCTTGGCCCAGGAGGCTGAGAGTTACCTGCTCAGCTTCACCTCACCATGAGGCAGGACTGGGATACAGGAGAGAGGGTTGACATCTTATGTTCAGTTCATGGGAAAAGCTAGAACTCCTTGCAATGTGTGAGAAGCTATTTCTCTTGGCTCCTGACCTTCCCTATCATAGTGAAACTAGTCTTGTCAATGTGCTGCACCTTTACCCGGATATGGGGTGCAGTGTATACAGAAATGAGTAAGCTCTCTTCCACTGGGATCTTCTTCAAGCACATTCTGCTCATGAAGCACGCTTGTTCATAAGCCATACTCCAGGTTCTACCCTGTGTTCCAGTCCTCAGTATATACAGTAACTCTGTTTTCTCCTTGCAATCTAGGCATACCTGGGCCTCACTCCACCAACAGTTTCCCAGGCCCCTACCAAACCCAGGAGTCTTGATTTTTATCCCATGTTTATGTCTCCAAAGAAGGGAGGTCTTTGGCATTATGGACAAACTCACAGAAGAGATATTCAAGTAGACCCTCCAGGCCATTGATGGACATGGAGCAACTGCTCAACCCAACTTTAGCAGTGCAGGAGTTTCTCACCACCACTTTTCCCATCCATTACCCTTCAGAACCAGGACCACAGATCAGAGCTGCGCAGGGCCCCACTTCATTTCTCGGCTCTTTCGCCCCTGCCTTGAAGGGCCTTTGGAGTGCCCCTGCTAAGAAGTGTATGCTTTCTAGAGTACCACCACAAATCAGTCAAACAAAGGCCAAATCAATACCAAAACCAGTAAAAAGCAGTGAGAGGCCACTGCTTGAGCTTGGCCAGGAAATCTGATTTTAAGCCAAGAGAAATAATGTTTCAAACAAAAGACCTGCCAGAATCAGCTGTCTACAGCCTCAGTACCAGAAACCTAGAAGCTGGAGAGGAAACCCCAGTTCTGAGTAAAGTTTAAGGAGCCATAACTCTCCCCAGCCAACCCATGAACCTGCCTTTCTCTCTGTTGGGCTGGGATGATATTGATGTTGTTGCTGAAACCTCATAATTTAATTGGCAAGTATAAATGTCTTCCTTTGATTAGTAAAAATAGAAATATAGGTCATTTTTGAAATAATATTCCCCATTTGCTAGAGGAAATCTTTCAAAACTTGGGTTCCATGAAGTCATAACAAGGAGATTGCTTTGCAGTGAATAAGGACCAGAAACCATATCTTTGGAAGCCCTCACACTGGCTAAAGGAGGGCATGACCACCAACAAATACACACCATTTCTTCTAGAAAAACATTAATTTGGGAACAGTACACATAGGCTTCTGTGAAACTAGAATCTATTTTATATGAATAAGCCTTTCATTAAGAAGGCTGGTTTGCTTCAGTGGTTAGAGCATAGGCCCGCGGACCAGACAGTCCTGGGTTTGGTTCCTGTTAAGGTCACGTACCTTGGTTGCAGTTTGTCCCCGGCCCTGGTTGGGGTCGTATGGGTGGCAGCCATTCGATGTGTCTCTCTCACATCAATGTTTTTCTCTCTCTCCTCCTCCCTCTCTCCCTCCTGCTCTGTCTTAAGATACATGCAAAAATGTCCTAAAATGAGAACAACAACAAAACAAAACAAACCCCCTGAGCACAGTGCTTTTCAGCACTTGGTCAATGCCACTGGCAGGGCCCAAGTGCTGGCTTGAAGGCCAAGCTCCAGAACTTATCTACTTTTCCCCCATGAAGACCAGTTTCCATTATTCAGACTTTTCCCTGAAGACTGACCACTGTATCTTGGGGGCCATGGGGCAGTCCCAGGATGACACCTAGGATAGGTGGACCTGACCTCCCTGTGGTACCCCAATTTTCCATGGCATGTTCTACAACCATTAAGACTCCTCTGGTGGCATGAGTTGAGTGTCTTCTCAGGCTCCTCTCCTTATTGGCCTGGTGTGTTGTGTCTGTGTGGCCTTACCTCATGGGACAGATAGAAGGCTGCAATGCCCAAAGGCAAGAAGCAACAGAGCATGGAAAAGACGCTGAGGCCCAGGTGGTCCTGTGGTGGCATCATGAGAAAGTTGTCCTCACTCTCTGTATCACTGGAGTAGTTGCTCTGCAAGAGAGAATTGTGGAATAAAACAGGAGAATAAGATTAAAAAAGGAACCATTAGGCAGGGACAGAGAGGACCCAGCATGGCAGCAGGTAGGAATAAAGTGAGGGTGAGAGTGTGAGTGGGTGATAGTATGCAAAAGAAAGTGTGTGTAAGTGTGAGTGCCAATGCGTGAACTCAGGGCTGGAGGTTTGGGTGATCCTGGCAGGAGAGTTACAAGTAGATGCCTAGCAGTGCTCTGCGAGGTGCTTATCTCTTTTTAGGACTGGAGATCATGCCATTTTGGAGGATCTTCAGGATTCTCCTTGGAAGGAGGCTGCAGGGAGTGGCTGAAACCTAACACCCTGAGGCAACAGACAGATGTGTCTGGCCCCTCCACTGCTGCCAAGACCCACCACACCTGACTGCACAGAACTGATACTGTGAGCTGCTACAGCATCCAGACCTGCCACCACTGTGAGCCACCACCACCACCCAATGACCCTGGACACATGGAACTACGGATGTGACTCTGTATACCAGATTCGGTGCCCCTGGATGACCCTTTCTGGCTCCAAGACCCATTGTACCTGGCCCTGTCATAATCCAATGCAACCCAGCTGCACAGAGAGAATGGAAGATACACAGACCGTCTGCCAGAACCAAACTGGAATTACAACTATAACACAGACAAATCGACAGGGAAAAGCAACAGAAACCAGCTTGCAAGGACCACATAACCAGGGACACTGACTCGATCCTGGTAGGATTGTGAAGGCACGAGATGGGGGCTGGGAGACCACAGACAGCAGTGGCCTTACATGGGAACAGCGCACTTGGGTAAAACTCCCAAGGAGCTCCACAGAGCAGAGTTGGGACAGAGGCTAAAAAAGCCACAGCCACTCACCTTGGGCTCCAGCAGAGGGGGGCAGACTGGACTGAAACTGTGTGGGGACACTTGGGATTTGGGGGATACTCAGAGCTTTTGCTGAGTTGCTGCCATACAGGACAGTGGCCATCTTACTTCTTCCCACGGCTCTGGGGAGAGGCAGCAGCCCCTCCCTCGGAGATCCAACCCCACCCTGTGGGCCATTGAAATGCTAATTGAGGCTCACTAACAACCAGCATCTGACCCACCCTGTGAAAATCCCCTTATGTTAAGCACCTGAGGGAGTTTTTCAATCAACTGACAACCCAAAACTCCTTAAGTAACCTCGACTGCTAGCCTCCAGGCAAAAAGATAGAGGATAACAGTACCTTTCCTGGGCTGGCAACGTTAACCAGGAAAGTAAGACTTGACAGTGGTGTTTAACGTGGGTCCTCCCTCACTAATCTAAACCCAGGAGAGGGAGCCACAAACAGCAGAACACCAACACCCACAGGGAAAACTTGGCAAGCTCCAAAGCCCACTGTGATAGCCAAAATGGTGAAACACAGAAACAGAAGCCAAATGAAAGAACAAGAGACCTCCACCGAAGATGAGATCAATGTGGAGCAGTTAGGCAAGTTAACAGGGCTAGAATTTAAAGCCATGATCTTGAGGAAGCTCAACAGCATGAGTAAAGACATAGAGATGCTAAAAATAAACCAACTGGAAATTAAAAACCACCAAGAAGAGAGAAAAACTGACATATCAGAAATAAAAAGCACATTGGAAGGTCTAAAAAGCGGAGTAGAGGAAGTTGAGGACTGGATCAGTGAATTAGAAAACAAGATAGAAAAAATCAACCAATCAGAAAACCAAAGGAAAAAATGATTAAAAAACAGGGAGACATCTTAAGAGAACTGTGGTACAACTGAAAACGTAATAATATTTGCGTCATAGGAGTCCCCCAAAAAGAAGAATATGAGCAATGGTTAGAAAATATATTCAAAGAAATAGTGACAGAAACTTCCCTAATTTGGTGAAGGAAGAAGGCATTCAAGTTCAAGAAGCACAGAGAGCCCCAAGGAAGAAGAACCCAAACAGGCACACACCAAGACACATAGTAATTAAAATGCGACAAATTAACGTAATCAAGGTGATGAAAAACAAGGACCTGAATCCAAGACTACTCTACCCAGCAAGGCAATCAATCAAAATAGAAGGTCAAATAAAGAGCTTCCTAGACAAAGAAAAGGCTAAGGGAATACATTAGCACCAAACCAGCACTGCAAGAAATGTTAAAAGGACTACTGTAATTAGTAGAAGAAATAGAAGGAAAAATATAACCACACTAAACAAAAATGGCAATAAACAAGTATATATCAATAATTACCTTAAATGTAAATGGACTGAATGCTCCGATATAAAGACACAGAGTAACTCATTGGATAAAAATGCATGACTCATCTATATGTTGTTTACAAGAGACCCACTAGATAACAAAAGACTCACATAGGTTGAAAGTTAAGGGATGGAAAAAAAAATCTTCCAAGCAAATGAAAAGCAAAAAAAAACTGGGGTAGCAATACTCATATCTGATAAAATAGACTTCAAAATGAAGGCTATATATAGAGACAAAGAAGGCCACTACAAAATATTGAAAGAATCTATTTAACAGGAAAATATAACCTTGATAAACATATATACACCCAATATAGGAGCACCAAAATATATTTAAAAACTTCTGGAGGACTGTCAAGGAGAAATCGACAGAAATACAATCATAGTAGGGGATTTCAACACCCCGTTGACAGCACTGGATATATCCTCTACACAAAAAAATTAGCAAGGAAACAGAGACTCTAAATTAAGCACTAGCCCAAATGCATTTATTAGATATATACAGAGAATTATACTCCAAAACTAAAGAATTCACATTCTTCTCAAGTACACATGAAACATTCTCAAAGATAGACCACATGATAGGACTCAAACTAAATCTCTACAAGTTCAAGAAGATTGAAATCATATCAAGCATCTTCTCAGATCACAATGGCATGAAACTAGAAATCAATTGCAATAAGAACATGCAAAGACATTTCAACACATGGAGGCTACATGGCATGTCATGAAACAATGAATGGGTTACCGAGGAAATCAAGAAAGAAATTAAAAACTTCCTGGAAACCAATAAAAATGAACACACAAAAACACAAAATTTATGGGATGCAGCGAAAGCAGTTCCGAGAGGTAAGTTCATAGCACTACAGGCCTACCTCAAGAAACAAGAAAAATTTCTAATTCACTGTCTAACCTCACAACTTAAAGATCTAGAAAGGAAACAAAAAGAAAACCCCAGAGTAAGTAGAAGGAAGGAAATAGTAAAGATCAGAGGAGAAATAAATTACATAGAGACCAAAAAACAATTCAAGGGATCAATGAAACAAAAAGCTGTTTTTTTCGAAAAGATTAACAAGATTGATGGATGCTTAGCTAGACTCATCAGGAAACAAAGAGAGAAAACCCAAATACACAAAATAAAAAATGAAAAAGGAGAAGTAACAACTGACACCACAGAAATACAAAAGACCATTAACCGCTACTATGACCAACTATATGGCAACAAATTCAACAATCTAAGCAAAATGGACAAATTTCTAGAAACACATAGTCTCCCAAAACTGGTCTGGGAAGAGATAGAAAACTTGAACAGACCAAAAACAACTAAGGAAATTTAAGAGGTAATCAAGACTCTCCCAGCAAACAAAAGCCCACGGCCAGATGGCTTCACGGGGTGTTTTACCAAACATTAAAAAAAAACTAACACCCATTCTCCTCAAACTATTTCAAAAAATTCAAGAAGAAGGAAGACTTCCAACCACATTCTATGAGGCCAGCATAATGCTAATTCCAAAACCAGAAAAAGACAATACAAAGAAAGAAAACCACATGTCAATATCCCTGATGAACATAGATGCCAAAATCCTGAACAAAATACTAGCGAATCAGGTCCAGCAGCACATCAAAAAATTCTTCATCATGACCAAGTGGGATTCATTCCAGGGATGCAGGGACGGTACAATATTTTCAAATGAATAAATGTGATCAACCACATAAACAAAATGAAGAATAAAAAGTACATGATCATATCAATAGACGCTGAAAAAGCATTCGACAAAATCCAGCATCCATTTCTAATAAAAACGCTCAGCAATGTAGGAATAGAGGGATCATAGCTTGACAAAATAACGCCCATATATGAAAAACCTACAGCCAACATCATACTCAATGGGCAGAAACTGAAAACATTTCCCTTAAGAACAGGAACAACACAGGGATGTCCACTTTCACCACTCTTATTTATCATAGTACCGGAAGTCTTAGCCAGAGCAATCAGACAGGAAGAAAAAGTAAAAGGGATGCAAGTTGGAAAGGAGGAAGTGAAACTCATTATTTGCAGATGACATGATATTATACATAGAAAACACTAAAGATCCATCAAATATCTACTAGACTTAATAAATGATTTTGGCAAAGTAGCAGAATAGAAAATTAATGTCAAGAAATTGACGGCATTCGTATACACCAATGATGAACTCACAGAAAGAGAACCTGAAAAAACAATCCTATTTACCATCATGGCAAAAAAATTAAGATACCTAGGAAAAAACTTAACCAAAGAAATAAATGACCTATTTGCAAAAAACTACAGGACATTGAAAAAGAAATAGAGGAATATATAAAAAAAGTGGAAGCACATACCTTGTTCATGAATTGGAAGAATTAACATCATTAAAATGTCCATACTACCCAAAGCAATCTATGGATTCAATGCAATCCCCATCAAAATACCAATGACATATTTCACAAAACTAGAACAAATACTTCCAAAGTTCATATGGAACCAAAAATGTCCTTGAATAGCCACAGCAATTTTGAAAAAGAAGGACAAAGTAGGTGGGATCTCAATATCAGATCTCAAGTTATACTGCAAAGCAACGATAATCAAAACAGCCTGGTACTGGCACAAGAACAGGCATATAGGCCAATGGAACAGAACTGAGAACCAAGAAATGGACCCAAGCAATATGCTTAATTAATATTTGACAAAGGTGGCAAGAGCATACAGTGGAGTGAAGACAGCCTCTTTAATACATG